TACGTACGCGTGTGTGTTCAACCCTACGTAATACACACAAGCTTTTTCTAAGCGAAGAAATGCTCCGCGAGAAGCACGGGTTCTATTCGCGGCAGAAAAGGGGACTAATAATCTGTCATACGTTCAAATCGAATTAAAAATATTAATTTCTATGAAACAGAGGCTTGTGTATTCGCTTTGAATAAGTCTGACCACCGTGGAGTTCGATTTAGATCAGTTAAGTTGGAATTCAGCGTAAGTTACATTAGATTTGAGAACGTTATATAAAAATAACGAATGTAATATACCGTACGTTTGGAAAAACGTTTTACCCTAATTAATTATACAGAGTGTCTTGTTCTCAATGGTGTTGCAGAAACCGAATTAAGTCATAGTAGTCATAGTGGCACAATCTTTACATTATCAAAATTAATAAAATTTGCGCTGTAACTTTAGAAATGGAACGAAAGTAGTCAGTCATGTCAAAGAAACGAATGGAGGAAAGTCACATTTTCGTGCGCTCATTAAATACGAATAAACGACGGCAATAACCAGCCCGTACATTTCTCTTGCCCTTATCTCCGACATTTCATTAAGCACGAGTGCTTTCGCTGAATCGCCAATAGGAATCAACCAAATCAATTACAGCCAACACCTAACGAACTTCCAGCTAATTACTTTATTGCGAGTATATTATCGCTGAAAGGGTTCGCAGGGTAGCGAAACATAATCACGATACACGTCACATGCTCGCGATTGATACACCTAAAATTGAAACTCCCTTCATAAAAATTTAAATTCTTTCATCTCCGTGCAATTTGTCCTTATAGCCTTGGAAAAAAAAAGACCGAACTTCAGTAAAATGTCCAGCGTCGTGTCTTCCCTCACTTCGGAATTATAAGATTTAATAGAATTGGACGATCCGAAGATTGATTAAGAGAAAAATTGAATTGTTGAGCAACGTGTTAATCCAGCGTGGAGAGAACTGGAACATTTCAGTAAGCCAGGGAAGATGAGTTGGCGTGGCTTTGACGTATGGAAGACGTCGAGTGTGGGTTCGTACGGTGGTGTCGTCGATTCGTCTTCCCTTGCCTTTCACCGATGGCGAATCCTTTTCGTTCTACAATTCTCCGGCACCTTGTATAAATGGTGCACGTGTCTGGCAGCCGTCCGCTGGCCAGGACCTACATCGTTCTTGCGCGAGATTGCTCTGTTCCGTAGCCTGTTCGATTTATCAATCGGCTCCTTCAGTTTCTCACTTCGTTTCCATTCACCTTCAAGACATTCGACTTTTTCAATTCCTGCGTGCCCATATTTCAAACGAGACGATAGTTTCGGCGATGTGTACGACTGGTCAAACATTGCCCAATTTCATCGTTTCAATCCATTCTTCTGCTATTCGTAGATACTATTATTTACGTAGCATTCTCGTAGCCACGGCAGTGAAATATTCCACTAAATTCCATCGTAATGGCCGTATTAATACGAGAGAAGATTCAGCGACGTACGCAATCTCTGACAACTCCGAGCGAAATGAACTTACGGGTGTAAAAGTCGGGGCAAAGATGAAGCCAGGGACCGAGAGACCAACGCGATAATATATGTACAATATTTTTAATTGTTGACGTTAAAATGTGCCCTTCTGCTCTTTTTTTTTCCCCTTCTCTCGTTAACGTGACGTGGCCACGGGTGAGGTTCAGGAACGTTCCTGTCACATTTTCGGTCGAGCCCTCCCTCGAGTTATTTATTTCACGCTTAAAGAATCACCTACCGTTCGTACCGGCGTTATCCGGCCATTGTACACGGTCGACTTTCGGCGAACTGTCTTTTGCAAGCACGGTGAAAATCCGACACACGATACCATTCGAGTTCAACCAATTGAGACAATGTTACAAATTGTGGACTATGAATACTTCCTATTCACTAAAAATGTTTACTTTCACTGAATCTTTATGAAAATCGTAGAACAGAGAGAATCAACACACTAAAGCAGCCATCTCGAACTATTGTGTCCATTACCTCGCGTTCGTTCATTTTCACCTGCAATGTTTTCTTCTTTTTGTTTTTTTTTCTCTGCAAGTAATCTTTACGTTTCACGTTAAAACTAATTACTTTCATCGGTAATTACACCGAACCTGCGAGCTCGCAGTGTCGTGTGATTTTATGACGGATGTAAGAATGGCGTGCACGGTGAACGGATATACGCATACGGAGCCGCTGCTCGCATGACAAACGATCGGGGAGGGTCGATCGGGTATTGGCACGATCCGTGCGCACCGAGCGATATAAATGAATACGACATATAAATGAATTGTGTCTCTGGGGTCGTATCTTACTGGGGAATATGAAACATTAATGGAGAAATGCATTTTCGCCAACAGAAACGAATGGCTCGTGACTGCCTGTCGATTTATTTCCGACGAACGATTCTGTCACTGAGGACGTCCGGAAGACACGCACCGGAATCATTATTCGGAGGAGGAACCTCCAGGGAAACGTACACAGGACGTAGCTTCCTTGCCAACTATTCTGGTAATTGATTTCCCGATTTGACGAATGACCCGGAATCGGTTTTTCTATATACCATTCTATATTCGTTCAAGAACCACGCTCTTCTTCATCTAAAGAAAAAACGATACAAATACTTCGACACTTAATACGAAATAACACCTCTTTTACACGATCAAACGAAGTAAAACCAACAAACAAAATTAATTTGCCGTAGAATGTGAAGAATTCAGCAAGCTGTTTCTAGTTTCCCCGTCTCTAACATAGAAAACTTATTTCGTCGTTTACAAACGGCGTACTTCAACGCTAGCAAGTTGTAAGAAGATACTAATCATTCCGTTTAGTCGAAACGTCGCGAGTAGCAAAGAGAAAGCAAGAGCCAGCGTAAAAGGTGAGCGTAGACGTCGCGGAGGTCTAGGGAGGCGGCAGATTGCGCCGTCGGCTATTTGCATAATGATTGCTATTACTATTACCGTAGCTGGTAGCTAATCTATAATGCAGTTTACACGATAACCACCAATGCATCAGGGACATGAAGATATCCCGTTAACATTCCTAGAGGTACGGGAAGGGAGCGCTCCCTTCTCCCGTGCAAACATCAACGAGATGCTATCACATCCACGTATGTATCATCGCAGTTGCATAACGTCGTCGTCATTGTCCACGAAACGAAAGGCTGACTCGTGCTTGAGTCGGTACGGTAGATATCGCCGATGGAAGGTTAAGGGGTCGCTAGCCGACCGTCTTCTTATCGACTGGAAGCACCATGCAAAACGGCTCTCTGACTCCCCGATAGAAAGGGGTAGCTGCAAACTGATCTTACATTATTTTCCATTTTCCCACTCTCAATACGTCTTCGTTCTGAGCATGAACAACACTCGGCTGACAGTTTTCTTGCGCAAATATTGGCTCTTTTCTTGTTCGATTCTCTCCTTTCTCTTATTTATTAAAATCTGCATGCATTGGTATACTGTTGTTTGTTTGTACTGTAATATATACAGGGTGTTTCGTAACTTGTGGGACCCACTTCGGGAGCTGATTGTACGCCTAAAAATAATGAAAAAAAGTCATATAAATATATGTCCCATCTGTCTTCGTTTATGAGATATAATGAATCTTCTGTTTTAATTACTACTACAAAAGATGCTCGAAATGACCACCTTGCATGTGAAGACAAGCCTGCACGCGTCTTGTCATTGATCTAGTTACTCTCTCTATCATTCTTGGTGTTTCTAGAATTTGTCGGAAGCCTTGCTCTATTCTATTTCGTAGTATTTCTGCATTTTCAATCGATGTTGCGTATACAATAGATTTTAAATGTTCCCACAAATGAAAATCTAATGGATTCAAATCCGGAGAANCAATTAAAAATTTATCAATTATTCCTGCCCATACGTTTAAACTAAACTGGTGTTGATGTCTTGAATGCACAATAACATGTGGGTCTTCTTCATCCCAATTATTGAATATACCATCTCTGGTAAAACTAGCTTACTAGAGTCTGCTCTGTTTATAAAATTCATTATATCTCATAAACGATAGGACATATATTTATATGACTTTTTTTCATTATTTTTTTCAGCTCCCGAAGTGGGTCCCACAAGTTACGAAACACCCTGTATATACTGTTGGTTTGGCACAATTTCCCTCGCGTATTAATTGTCATCAAATTCACGACGGCAAGCAGTATTTCTAGAATTTACAAATTCTGTTCTTTAAGCTCGTGGGCTGAGTTTAGCCGATCTACTCGATGAACGACTTAAAGATTTATGAGTGTTGTTTGGAAGAATACTAACGTGTTTGATAATGTCAAAAGAATCGCAGGTATTTCGTTGGTTCTCGTGCGGAAATTACAGTTTGGCGTGACCGTCGTTCCACAGCGTTCTTCGCGTCCATTCGTCGTCCCTTAAAAAGTACGATTTGCATAGAGGCCAACTGTCATTTTGGTTTCGTTCTGATGAACGATATTGTACACACGTTGATTTTTCTTTTAGACATTTTCATTCGGACAGGTATGCGAATACTCGGATGATCTTTACGTTAATTAAATATTTTCCAATGAATTTTTGTGCCTCAAAGGAGAGAGCGCGTATACAAAATACGGTTTTCTTTTGTTACGGAATCTCCGATGAGTTATAGCCATCTAATAAGGCGAATCCCATGAACAATATATTGGATTCACGATACGCATTTCGCGTGCTTCGCGATACTCGAATTTCACTCGGTAAATCACTGCTACCTTATTCGTTGCAGCTTCAAGAGGGTCGACAAGAATCGTGGATACCTTGAAATTCCATTTTCTTTGTCAGTACGATTTTTTTCAACTGTCTACGTAAAACACGCGTGTGATTAATCTGAGCTCTACTGAATTATTGAAATATATGTATTCATTGTTACACCTACCGAAAATATTTAGAAAATATCGTGCGTACTAATGTACTCTAAAAAAAATCATTCGCTAACGCGCGAGCGTCGAGATTTTTCGAAGAATCGCACAAAGGAGTCGAAGGGGGTGCAAACTGAATTATTGATTACGACGAAATTAAAAAAAACGGGCTTCGTTGCTGCGCTCACGTGTATCGTAGATTATATCAGCGCCACCCTATCAATTTCCACCCTCGAACAATATCTGGCAAACGGGAAGATATCGAGTGCCTTGGGGGCGGGATCCCTTATGTGTCTTGTCGTATTATAAAATATTGACATGCATACTTCGTTCACGGGTAGATATTTTAGGTGACGCAAAGCTCTATACCAAGGTAGATGGGGACAGCTTTAATAATATAGCAGACGATTTTCAACTTTTCCCCGAATGTTTTTCATTCCGGCATCCTCTTCCCTCTCAGCCTTTCCACGGCTCTCCCTCACCGCTGTCCGATTCTTATGTCAGATGCCTTTGCCCCATTTATTTCTCCGACGAGCACGATTAACTCTCAAGTGGAAATGCTTCCGCATTTTTTTGCTATTGCCACCGATGTGTGACATATCTCTTAGATTGATCTTCCAAACCGTGGTTTGAATGAAATGTAAACGCAGACTAGATGTTTCTAAAGGCAGTGTCTTTCAGGTCTGAAATCATTGAGCGCAAAAAAGGAATTTGTATCGAGGTAACAACGAGACGGCAATCCGCTAAAACCGATTGAATGAATTCGGCCGGTAGAATGATTCGGTCGGGTTGTATAAGCACGAGCTCGGGGATGAAAAAAAATGGCCTTCTTATATTGGCGGAAGAGGAGGAGGACGGTAGGCATCGCGCCGGTATCGGCCGGCGTCCCTTCAATAACCTCGATACAAAATTCTTTTCACCGTTGGCCTGAATGCCTATAGGAAATATGTGAAAGGCCGTCTGATTCAGACGGTCCAGTGTTGGCTCAGGGCTTTCTGTGCCTGTACGGAACGGCCGGCGTTTGCAAGGCGTCTATAAGCCACGGGCTGCCGTAATGAAACATAAATTATTCAATCGAAATCAGCCGCGTGCACCGAGGCGGCCAGTGTTTTTCGCCGAAAACGGCCTTTAAACCGAACCCTCCAAGCTTCTAGCCGGAAGAGAAAAAGGCCGAGGCAAACCTCTCTCTCGGATCTTTTTCTTTTCTGCATCGCTGCAGACTACTCGTTCCGAACGATTTTACGTTTTCATGGGCCGCGTGCCGTCTCGTGTTTGCGCTCGTTCCGCTCCCGCGTAACGAATCGAAAGCGCGCGCCCGCGTTCGCGTTTTTTTTATTACGCCCGTTTGATTGAGCTTCCGTTTCCTTGCTCTCTCTTCCTCACTCTCTCTCTCTCCCTTTCTCCGTCTCTCTTTCCTCTTTCTCTGCGCCCTCTGCATGTAGACGCGAGTTCGGTTTTTAATTTCAGAGCCAGGCTTAATTACCCGTATCTATGCGAGAGACCCGCGCTTCTCGCGAACGTTCGTTTATCACGGGAGCATCAGCGACAACTCGGACCATGGCATGAGACCTTCGATTTAATTGCTTTAGTGGATATTTTCCGTCCAGGAACGATTGGAGGCTGGACAAATTTGAAGAACATTCACGATTTAGAAGTGCGAGAAATAAACGGAGAGAGAATATAAATATGTACATTTCGAAGATAGTGTTAATATTTTATTTATAACTCCTGTGAAAGCCTGTATTTGATGTCGTATGAATTTTCTCTGTATCATTAAAAGCAAATTCATTATCGGTGTTTCTTTTCCACTTTACAATACATTAATGAAGTTTCGAATGACTCGCGTTTCGTGTAATATTTATTTCGTTCAAATTTATTTCGAGGAAGTTTAGTTATCAGAAAATCTTGGTATTTTCGTAGCCAACGAATTAATCGAGACACCTAGTCTATTTGAACGTATTACATTTGAAAGCAGAATTTTATATAACGCCTTTTCAACCTGCAGGTATTAAATATCAACTTTTAACGTAGTGTATGTAAAATATCAATCACTTTTGTCGCAGTAGAAACAAATAATATATTGGTTTCTTGCACCATTTTACGTGAAAATACGTGTGTAAATTGCCGTTTACATGCATTACGAATGCTACCCTCTCATACTTCCTACATTGTAGGTGCCCTTTAAAACTGAATGAAAGCCTCGATTCCGGGTGTGTCGACACGCGTGTCGACGTCGATAGGGAACGGAAGTCGCTTAGATGGGGTGTTCGAATAGAACAAATGCATCGTGTGGGAAGGGAATAGTTTGGAACATTATGATCTTTGTTCGCGTCAATGTTTCTCAAATTTTCATCGTTCAAGTAGAATTTCAATTCTACACGACGGAGAATAAATATCAAACGAAGAGAACGATCGATTTCAGACGATAATGTTTGGTTATAATGTACACTCCCATCCATAAGTCATCAGACACTTGCTTATTTTCAGCTAAAATAGTTACTAGAACACAGATATAATTTTCTGGACTTGTTTTATTATAAAATCTTGTTACATGTACTTTATTTACTCTATTTTATAACAATACTTGAAAACAAAACTGATATTTTATGTATATGATCTGAATATATATTTCAAAATATATCAAAAATATGTATATGTATTCAAAGAATCCAATAGATGTATTATAGGATGATATTGGACAAAAGACTTCAGAAATGTGTGCAAAATCGAAAAAAATACTTATGGAAGAAATTCGAAGAAGCGTGGAAAGAAATTCATTTCGAAATGTTGTTAAAATTAAACGAAAAGATGTCACGGTTATTTCTGGTCGTCATATTTGCACAAAGATATATTATGTACTACTTGGTTTTTTGACATATAAATTGTTTGACATATGTATTCTAGATATTATACATATGTAATAAGTAGTAATTTCGTTTTATAAAATAAGTCATTTCAAATATAATTACCTCATTTTGTCGTAGTATTCGGTGACTTATGGACGGGAGTGTATATCTTTGAACGTATGGCTTGACATAAAAATGAAAATTGTTATTTGTTATGAAATACTGTCTACTAATTGGCGTACTCACTGATTAACAGCTTTGATCGATATCCCATCATCCTTGACCACAGCGACATAATTTCAAACTTAACCTCACTACGACTCGCGAGTTTCTCCTTTGAATTTCCTGATTTTGAAACAAATATGAAGAGTTGTAGTATGATGCGAATAATTCCTCGCGAATAATTACAATAATGATACTGAATTAAAAACAAACGAAATGAATCGAATTTTTAAGAAAACTGGTAATGATCATGAAGCCTGAAAATGATAACAGAATTAATTTACAATAAATAAAAGAAATTGTTGCTTATACCTATATAAATCAATCACTTATTTGAACCATTCACACTTTCAACTGCAATATTCAACTGTAACATTCATTTACATCGTTACTCTTACGAGGAACTTCAAACTGTTAGTAATAGTGCTACCAACTATACATCTCAAATGTTACGTAACGCGATTATTAAAATAAGATGATACATATTTTTAAAATACATATCTTTTACATCTGATATCAAGCAAACAAGAGATCTTGACGACAAAAATAGAATTTTTTCATCAATTGTTCGTTCTGAATTTCTAGTAACTTTTTTCACACCATGAAAAACACTAATCCTTAAAATTGCGAAATTCAAACAGTTTTGTCGCCTGTATCTTAACGCACAGGATAGCGGCAGTGTGACGGTATGTTTGTTTCATAAAATACACGGTGTCTCATCGTTTCGGGCGTGCAATATGACTTACCAGGGACGCGTATATAGATTTTTATGCAAATTCTATTGATATCCGATTGCGGCTGATGATAGCGCACGGAACGTTCACGTCGTGTTGGTGCGGTTGGAGGGAAATCGAGCATACCACGTGACCACTGCTACGCGAGTGTCCGCCGCGATGATTGGACGTTGCCGGTCGAATGGTCACTGTGATTGGCTGAGTCTTTAGACTTGAATACGAACATGGGTTAGTGTAGATCGCGATTAACGGTTGCTCTCGAACGAAACACGGCGTCCCCCCGGTTTTAACTCTGTGCACAAGCCTTTTATCAACCGTATGTGTTTTAGAAATTATACGTACCGGTGGATTTATCGAGCGATAGGCGCGCGGAACAAACGAACGGTAACTTGTGACTCTTGAACGAGAATATGCTGTTCCAGTCTCCCGTTTCGCAAGCGAAGTAAGTGTAGCTACGCATATCCAATTTACACTTTTTTCTCTTCAACGTTGAATATTTATATAATCGAATAAAGTATAAATTAATTCAACTTAATTAACTACGAGTAACTATGCGCCTTGAGCAACTATGCGCTTCTTTTGAAATTCAAATGATTCCACCCTTTGTAATTTTTAATTGCTAACCTCAACTGTTTTAAATCGTGGCTTACTGATATACGTTATATGACGTAATGGTTACGTAACGGTTACGTAATTTATCGAAACGAATATAACGAATATAATACCCTTTAAGGAATGCAATACGAAACACTGCATTCTTTCTGTATTTCAATTAAAGGAGAGAAATCTTGTAATTGCAGAAATGATTTATTTCGTATTAAATAAAGTTGTTAGAAAATGTAAAACTTGTAAAGAGCGGCATCAAAGATTTCATAATGGGAATTTCTATCATTTAAACCGAGATTAAGAATAACCGATAGCTTTTCCATTATTTTCAAGGAAGTTGACCGATATTTGTTTAACAAAGTCATCAAATTAATTAGTACATTGAACACACATATAATAAAAAACAGAGTATTAAGTAGAAATTTGATACGATTATACTTTGGGCGATGGTTCAACAAACTTTCCGCGATATTAGTTATCTAGTTAGCTTGCACCTTTGTATGTACATATGTATGTACCCTTGCACGCGCGGGAATTCTTTTTCCTTTTTTGCAAATGTAACAGCGACGACGGGTGCGTGACCCAAAGTATGCGATTACTGAGCTGGCGCGAAACTCGGATCAATTTGAAATATAACCTCCTCGTTATTAATAAAATTTGCATTTACAAGGGCGAGAAAGTGTCACGACACGACACGCGGGACGAAAGACCGTCTCGGCACAGTTAACTAGAATTTCCATGATTACGCTCGCAATCCGTAACTAACGATTCTAAAGACACCGTTGTATTGCAAATTTTTTTCCTTACCTTATTATAACGTCGACATTTCCCAATTTAACGATAAAGAAGAAAAATAAAGTAAGCATAAGGGATGTACGCGTATCCTTTCCCAATTTAATTTTAAAAATAGAAGACAGAAATTTGTTTGAATTATTTTTGAAAAAATATAAAATGTATCTGTTTTCATCCACGTTTAAGCAAACAAATTTAGAAACAAATTTCGTGTCTAATCACTCGTCCCTAACTCGTCTTCTAGACGAGGTTGACGCGTAGCCGTAGCAGTAGAATTCTCCGAGTGAACGTAAAGCCCGTCCAACTCGTAGGGGTTTGATTACTCGTTATCGAGGTAACTCTACCGTCGTCTGGCATCTGATAAAGGCTCGCGAGTAATTATTAATCATAGACCGGGCAGTATAACGATCCATCCGAGTCTTATCTCGGTGTCGAGTGATGTATGCAAGTGGCCGAGGCCCTGTGCGCGCCACGATAGAAAGGGATGTGGTGGTGCACACCCGTTGACCGAGCCGCTGGTATTCGTGGTCGTCGCGTTGCTGGTTGCTACTTGGTCGGTGGGGTTACAATACTTCACCAAGATAACAACTAATAATCGATAGTGGCATTGCCAGGTACGCAGCCAGGTACATGTACATAAGTACGGTCTCGAAAAGACCTTACACCCCTTCCTGTTTCACCCCCTTGTGCAAGTTGCATCGGCGGGTAGTCTTACCTTTTAGCCTCCCACTAACCACCCAATGGCTGCATGCAAGACGCTCGTAGGTCAAAGGTTGCTCGGTTAACTACTTCGTAAATTATCGTAAGATTAACAGTTACTTTGTTCGCGTTCGAACGGTTTAGCAATGCGTGCATCTTGTGTCTTCTTTTACTTTTGCAAAAGAGGATAGTTGCAAAAATAACGATAGCGCAATCGACCGAATGGGATGATTGATTTTCCCCCCGTTCGCAAGAACGAGTTGGATTCGTAAAATGAGTTGGATGTTTTTTTTTTTATGCTTTGCTTTGGAAAAAATATTCTGTTAGCTCGCTAGAAAGTTTCCTCGTTGGTTTCCAATTCGGTGTTTGCCTTACGATACATGATCAAATATACCGATAACTTCACGAACGCAAATAATATCTGAAAGTCGATATTATTTCGGCACGTTATTTTATTTTAAAACAAAGGCGCAGAAATTGTGTTGATCACGTATTTCCGGAGTTTGAAAAGTTTAATTTCCGATCGAGAGAAAAATCGCATTTCAACCGACGGATCGTGTCGTCATCGCGTACTTTGTATTTTGCATTTATTTATAAAAAAGCGCAATTATAATTTTACGAGAAACGTACATCGGTTAAATAAATTTTAATCGTTCTAACGATCGTAAATACAACAGGGAACGATTGTATTGTAGATCCGACAAAGGAACTTATTAGTAGCATGAATTTATAACGTCTATCGATTACAAACGTTTATAAATAATTGACGCGACTCGCTGCTTTTCACACAAGTGTTTGATTTATCAGAAAAAATCATCGTAGATGAAGAGCGTACTCCCTCCCTGACATAATCGTGTCGGTGGTCGTGAATGTAGGCTGAGAGAACAATTATCGCTTGTTGCACGTTGCAACGATCGTACGATAAAACGAAAACGCGGGACAGAGAATATTCACAGATCGCCAACTCGAACGGCGAAAGCATTAGGCGGCAAAAGATAATGCATTACAATCGAACGCACGCAATAATCCCTATCGCCTCTGGTCGATCGGCAATAAAATGTAAAATTTATAACGGCAATTATCTCGTGTCGTGTATCTAGGTGACGCGTTTGCGAGATCCAACTTCTTTCCACTCCCTCGCAACCCTGCTGTGTTTTATGGATGAAACCCTCGGTCACTGGCCAACCGTTCAATAATTAATACATCGGCGACAGTGTGTCGTTGCTAGGTGATTAACACGCCTTGCTTTTGTCGAAGTCATACTACTGTGCTTCGCGTATCATTTTTCTTTTATGTCGCACGATGGAAAATTTAACGACGATCCTTTTTCTAGAATGTTTGATTGTCTTTCTTTCCGTGATCGAGAGAAAATTGTTAAACGAAAATTACGCGAAAACGCTTGACGAAGGGAAGAGAAAGCTTTTCGACGAAGTCGCACTTGTATTCGGCGTTTTTAAACGATTAATAATATTCGACGTATCAGCAACTTTCAGCAGTAAGGCCGTTGTGTACTCCGAATGATAATTACTAAATACTTACGATACTCCTCGAAACGCCGTTATCGTTATTGTACCAAACGAACAGTGGTACGAACGCGATACGAACTTCCCGACTCTATCTGTATCGTACAAACGATGATAATGAACTGCGCTTAGGAGGGTAATCGTAATATTCGTACGCCTTCCAAATGCCGTCCTTTCGAGTTTCATGCTCTAAGAACGTTGAACATCGTCCGGGGTCCCGTGGGGTGGTTCTACTTTACGATCCGGTTGTCCGCGTACTTTGCAGTCGGCACAAAGGACTACGCCACCTCGTTACGAAGGAACCAGTTAGAATAAACTGTGATTAGGAAGATAGTTATGACGTTTTGTATTATAATTCTGCGAGGGTAAAGTCTCTCTCTTTCTCCTCTTCACTTTCTCTCTCGGCTTTCTCCCTTTCGTTTTGTCATTTGTTTCTCCCTTTCGCCTCTGTCTTTCCGTCTCCTTTCCCCTCCTTGTCGCGTTCTCTCCTCGTCCCGAAAGGGTTGTTCCCAAGTACGACGCAGGACTATCGCACGTTACGCACGTTACGCACGTGAGATTTTAGAAATTCGTAGATTTACTTCTCGATGCAATCGATACGCGTTCTCGGCGCCTTCTTGCTTGCGTCGGATATTAACCACTTGCGCTGGCAGCTGGTTCGCGGACCATAACGAGTGACCAAACCGTATACAATAATTCCTTTTTGAATTGATTTCTTTTTGAACTCGTCGGTACGATATCACTGGATAGAAACTATTAAGTAATAAATTTATTACTTGTTTTGCCTATTTTTTTTTATTTAAATACATAATTTTAGTTATTATAACATGTATTATGCTGTAATATATAATAGATAATATGTTATAACATAACCTATGTTATGCCTAATATAACCTATATTCTAGTTGAATACATTGACACTTAGTGCGTTTATTGTTAAATTATATTACAGATTAAAGTTGTATTAACTTTCAAATAAAATAAAATTTACTTGTATGTATCCTTAATCACTTGCGCTGACAATTGATTGCGAACCATAACGAGTGAC